CAGATGGAATTAATAACCATCTGGCTTATCACATCAGTCTCAAATAAGCAACAGATCACACACTGACAGTTTGCAACCAATCAAGGAAGGGAAGCAAAAATAAATATATAAATGAAATAGCCAAAAGAACACAGGATTAACTTCTTGATACAAATTCAATCAACATTTCAGTAAGCTGAAACTCAGAGCTGTCAAGATGAAAAGATGTTCAGTCGTACTTCATAGATGCGTTGCACTCTAATAAAAGTTCAGTTCTGCACATTCCTATGCAAAAGCAAATTTTAATGAGATTAATGGGGCTCTCTCCCAGGTAAATGGGTACTGGATTTCAGCCAAGTACTATAATATTAATTGACTTTTATCAGGAGTCAGACTGTCTGAATAGAACACAACTTTAACTAAGATCAAAAATCATGCCTTGTAAACACAGAACAAGCCATTTGAAGAGCTGTTGAGATTCAATTGACTGTAGCAGGCAATAAATCTAAGAAATAAATATGTTTTATTTTGTGATATTTATTTTATGAGATTTAGCAGCACCAAAATAGGAAATAGATGTTCATGTGTGCACAATATATATACTAGGGGTCGGTTCTACTTACCTTTACTACCGGTTCACAATGGGGCTGCGTGCGTGCTCTTCTGCGCATGCGCAGAAGCATTTTGATGATGTTGGGATCAGTGGGCGGCGCCTCCCACCGGTTTTACTACCGGTTCTATAGAACCGGTGCGAACCAGGGGCAACCCACCACTGATATATACATATACATATACATATACATATACATATACATATACATATACATATACATATACATATACATATACATATACATATACATATACACATACACATACACATACATATACATATACATATACATATATATATACATATACATATACATATACATATACATATACATACCCTGTTTCCCCCAAAATAAGACATCCCCTGATAATAAGCCCAATTTGGCTTTTGAGCACCTGGCAATAAGGCCAAGCGCTTATTTCAAGGTTCAAAAAAATATAAGACAGGATCTTATTTTCGGGGAAACACGGTATACATATACATATACATATACATATACATATACATATACATATACATATACATATACATATACATATACATATACATATACATATACATATACATATGTACATACAATAGAAGACACACACGGACACATACATACACTGAGTAAATGCATATAATAGAGGACACACACACACACGTCTATTGTATGTATTTCCTCAGTCTTGGATATAGGCAATAGAATGTTAGCTTGCAGGGTAGTATCTAGATCAGTGGTTCCCAACGTGGAGCCCACATCCCACAGGGGGGCAATTTGATTTTTAATGGGGGCAATTTGAACCTTGTTTAAACCAAGTTAATGGCCTTTTAGGTTTCCTCCGTATGAGTAGAGTTCACTTTTTGAGTAAAGTAAGAATTATATGTCACGGGGGGGGGGGGGGCATCAGGATTTTAGAGATCCTTAGGTGGGGCATGGCCAAAAAAAGGTTGGGGACCAATGAAATATGTTGGCTTGCATAGACTGGTGTGGGAATGCTTAGGTTAAAAGTGGGCTTTGGTGGCATGTGTGACATACTGATAAAACTGAGTAGAAATACAATTAACAAGAAATACTGCAAATAGAATGGATTAAGGCAACCTGTATTTTTCTATTTTTTTAAAGCATTTATATGAAAATACTAATTGATGGGCAATAGAGATCAATGTGTTATAAACCAATCTAATAATGATCATGTTATATGGAAGATTGTGACTTCCATATAAGAAATTGTTGAGATGAAATGGAATAAAATTAAAAGAATTATGTTTTGTGTCTGTCAAATTAAAGAAAAGGGGAAGGTTATATACCCATAAATGAAAGTGGTTTGCTCTGGAACAGAGTTGATGAAGGTATGTGCTTAAGAAAGTATGGATATGCGTGTGTGCGTGTATCCGAAAGTATCAGGCTGTTATGAAAGTCTTTCAGGCTGTTACGGATACATGCAGGTCGTCCTGGGGTTACAGTAGTAATTGGATTGGAATTTCCATCCCTAAGCAATGTCACATGACCACATCACTTACCTACAGCAATCCCAGAAATCCCCGTTGAAATCCCAACCCTGTGTAGATCATTAAGTGAGGACCTCACATGACCATGATGTGGAAAGAGGCAGGAGTTCCAGACAAGAAGACTGGTGGGTGAGAGCATCCAGGCACTAGGGAGTGTGGGGGCATATGCCCTGGTGGGCACTAGATAGGCTGCAGGTGCCACAGGTGGGCAGGTGGGCACTAGGGAGCATAGGTGGATGAATACATCTCAGAAGTCCAGTTTTGAAGGAAACAGAATAAGAGTTGACTTGAATACATCTAAATTAATGTCTACTTGTCCACCTGTCTACTTATTTAATACGTCTAGAAGTCTAGGTGGGTTAGAAAGATTTCACCACACGAAGTAGAGAAGGAGCTTAGATTCCTTTGTTTCCTTTGTACTGTCAACTGCTGCTCTCTAGGGAAATTCAAGACAATAAAAGCCTCCAGCTAACTCTTCCCTGATATTTAATCTCAAGGGGAAGGTATTGGTCTTGCTCAGGGATTTAGAAAACAAGTCCCCATAGACCTCCATTACCAGAGACAGAATGGATTGAATTCCAGATCAGCTGGGGGCACGTTTGGATCCCTATGTTTGCATCACTTAAAGGGCCCATTAGAGACCTCATGAATTAGCTCTTTGATAAATGTATTTGGTATTACTGATGGTATATCAATCATAGATTTATATTGAGAATTCTCTCTTTCTCCTTCTCTCTCTTTCTCCCACTCTCCCTTCCCCCTCCCCCTCCCTCTCTCTCTTCCTCTCCCACTCCCCCCTCTCTCTCCCACTCTCTCAGCCCTCCCTCTCCCTTTCCCCCTCACCTCTCTGTCTCCAGAAGAGCAACTTGGTTTCCTACAACCCTAATCCATTATTATACCAGTGACATTTTCTTCTGCTTACATTTCCAGTTTATGAAGAACTGTTCCAAACTAGATAGGAAATTTGGTTAGGACTGGGGATAGGTACCCCTAGAGTATTGTTGCTGTTTTTTTAACCAGGGTCCAGAAATAGAGTGGGAAGAAACTGGACCCACGGAGACACCACTAGGTTGGGAGGAAGCTTTTTTTGGCATTTTGCAGGAAGTCAGTGCTCTAGATTATTGCTCTCCAAGCTTCAGTCTGAGTACAGGCCTTTCTGGAGCTTTCTGCTGGTCTTGGGCTCCAGAGGTTTTGCTAACTGACCAATTATTTTGTGAGCTTATCTTGTCTAACTAGATGTGATTCACAGTTCTGGGTGCAATTCAAGGTGGTAGTTACCACCTCCATGGCATAAGTCCTGGCTATCTGTGGGACTACCTACAGGAGTAGTGCGGTGGCCTAGAGGTGGCGCTCTCACCGCACAATCAGAAGGCTGTGAGTTCAATCCTAGGTAGAGGCAGATATTTCTCTCTCTGGGCACAATGAGAATATATCTGCTGAACAAAACTCTGCATTGGTGACAGGAAGGGCATCTGGCCAGTAAACACTTGGCTCCATTCATTTGCCCAAACTCCACCCCACAAGGGATTATGGGGTGGTTAAAAAAAGATGATGTACCTATCTCTGATTATTTATCTCCTATAAGATTAGGCAAAGTGGGTGTACTCCAGGTCCCTTTTTTTAAAAAAAAATGATTTATATGCCGCCCTTCTCTGGAGACTCAGGGCGGCTTACAATGCGTTAAGCAATAGCCTTCATACTTTTTGTATATTTTATACAAAGTCAGCTTATTGCCCCCACAAACCGGGTCCTCATTTTACCCATCTTAGAAAGGATGGAAGGCTGAGTCGACCTTGATCAAACAAGGACCTCTATTGTGACATAGGAAGCCTGGCTTCTCTGTTTCAGTGTTTCCAAGACATTCATCTGATTCCCACCCCAATGATGTTTTTTAAAAACTCCAAAGACATGTTGTTTCCCCCAGCCTTGACTTAGGATAGATGCTGAGCCTTGTAGATTTTTTTTTTTCCTGATTAAGTACTTGTTTTCTCCTGGACATCGTATGATCTATGCTTTTAATTAATTAATTAATCATTCTCTGCTTTTAATATTAGAAGTTGCCTGGAGTCTTCTGGAGTGAGATGGACTTTTAAAACACATCAATACATACATACATGCATGCGTTTTAGTGAGTATGTGCAACAAATAATGAAGTATATTCTTCGTTTTTCTGCTCTGTGCTTCTGTCATTAAAAAAAAACAAACCCTTAGCATGAGGCTTACTAACCCAGAGCAAACATTACATCATATTAAAAATAAAATAAGGTTACAAGGAATAATGAATCCTTCCAGCATGTATTTCTAAAGCATTGTAGTTCATTAGGCAAGATATACTTTAGGCTAGTCTTCCCTAGCACAGCATCTTTCCGATGTGGTATTTTTCAACTGTCATAAATACATCGCATTTCCTTAATTGCTGCACAGTGATTTGGAAAAAGATAATGATCTAGATTCATTTGATCTAGGCTTTCTTTGATTCTTATCCAGCACCAATTCCATCACAGTGCTTCACTTCTTTCTTTGGCCCATTTCTTGTCTGATTAATCCAGAGAGATCCATTTGCCTTAAGGAGAGAGAGAGAAAAAAAGACCTTTCTCTTGATAAAACATCTGTGCAAGCCAACACTTGATTCCACAAATGTATATTTAGCCTATGGAGTGTATATTTAGCTGCACCATCCTGAGGACTAATGGGAATATTGCCTTTGATAGGAGTTTTTTTGTCTTTCTATTGTTGATCATTGTACCTGGTCAAAAAGAGTAGGGAAGAGTTTTCAATTTAACATTTAGGGGACTTTTCTTATGTCCCAATTCAAATTTGTGTCTTGCTATATTGTGTTCTAATGTGATACTCTTATGTTTCTTAGCAGTGAGAGGGCCTTCAAACCTGTAGAACTATGTTGTCAAAAAAATAATAATTGTCACATTCATCTTTGATTTTGGAAGGAGAAAGTAATGAAGAAATGTTTGCAGTGAAGAAATGTTTGGCTTATCTTCCAGGGTTATTTTTTTCTTGGGGATGTTTGCTTTTTCTTTTTCTTTTCAAATAAGCACCTGCACAAAAGAGAATAAACACACAAGCTTCCCTTTAAAACCTGAACAGATGCAGAGTTCACATTTGATCAGAAAGATATTGCTCTTCTATCATAACCGCGGTACTATTCTTGGAGATTGTGGCATATGCTGTTGCTTAAAACACAAATGAAGAAGCCAATGTTATGTTTCTGTTCCATTTTATTTCTCACACAACTGCTGGGCATCTGGTACACGGTACTTCAGCATAGTATAAACACGGAGAGTATTGTACTTGATTCATTCACATATGAACACAGCACAGTAATTGCTTGTGGGGAAAAAAAATCGCCAGCGTTATTAGTACCTCAGAAATTGAGTGGACTGCCATACAGCCTTGAATTCCTTCCTCCCCTATCTATTGTCTTGCTAAACACAATTGAATAATTTCCTTACAGGATGCTTCAAAAGAAATCACATTGAATTAAATGGGATGTAGCCTCAGGTAGATGATCAAAAGGCTGGAGCATTAATCTCTATATCATTCTTAATATATTTATAATAGGATCGTCTTCAGGCCTAACAGATGAATCATTTCATGTCTTTTGATAGCACTACAACTATTTGCATTTTTATTCCTGGGGTGGACACAAAATTGTAAAATACAGTTTATCTCAGCAAGGAGCTGGAAAGCTGTTAGAAATGACAAGGATTTCTAAAGAAAAATAGCTGGGAAGAATAATCATGCCCAATTGCCCTCTTTTTCATAATGATGCACCTTCTTTTCTGGTTGTTAAACCACTTTCTTTATTTTTCACCTCTGGGGCAGCTTGATTTACAGCACAGCAGGCCAGTAGTTAAAAATTGATTCATGTATTTCTAGCAGATGTAAGATAGCTGCGCCCACCCCTCCTACCAACCCCACATCATCCAGAAGAGAACTGAAGTAGAATTTTCTGTATCTATCCGTTGCCATTTAGAAGTCACCCAGATTTTTGTCTATTTTCTAAGCCAGTGTGTATTAAGGAACAATATTTTTTATTTTGAATTACAGACCTTTATATTTACAATGCCTAGATGAGTGAATTGGGTTTTTCTTTTTCTTTTAAAGTAACTTTTGGATGGAAAATCTGCAATCCAGAGACCTTTTATGGCCCTTGGAACATCTCTGAATTTTTGTTTGACATCATATTGGAGAGGGAAGAATGTGAAACTATATGCAGTAGAAATATAAAATAGAAAAGAAAAATCTACCACCAGGATGTCTCCCCCCTCCCACCCCATCCCCTAAAAAATGAGATTCCATCCACATGCATGAGGCCCACTCTTCATGCTCTCTTCTTGTGTTATATCTTAAAGTCCATCTCCCAACATATTGCCCATCTCTGCTTTTTTATTTTATTTTTTGTTCCTTCAAGTCAATGTTAATTCCTGGTAACTCCCTGGACAAGTGGCTGCATTTTTCTCGGCAAGACTTCAGAAGTGGTTTGATCTTGCCTTCTCCTTCCTAGGGCTGAGAGGGTTTGACTGACCCAAAGTCACCCAGCTGACTTGATGGGACTAGAACTCAAAGTCTCCCAGTTTGTAGCCTGATATATCAACCACCACACCAAATTTTTATTGGTAAGCCATAGCTTACATCTTATCTATCTATCTATCTATCTATCTATCTATCTATCTATCTATCTAACCAGGGGTGGTATTCACTTACCGCTACCGGTTCGCAAATGTGAGCACAAACCACCTCCAAACATGCTCAGGGCCTTCCGCGCATGCTCAGAACATCAAAAACGTGGATAAATAGAATGTGATGATGTCCGGGTGGGTGGGCCTCCCACAGCCGCTGCTATCGGTTCGCCCGAACCATCTGAATACCACCACTCTATCTATCTATCTATCTATCTATCTATCTATCTATCTATCTATCTATCTATCTATCTATCTTTCTATCTCTCTCTCTCTCTCTCTCTCTCTCTATCTATCTATCTATCTATCTATCTATCTATCTATCTATCATCCATCCATCCATCTATTATCTATCTATCTATCTATCTATCATCCATCCATCCATCCATCCATCCATCCATCCATCCATCCATCCATCTATCTATCTATCTATCTATCTATCTATCTATCTATCTATCTATCTATCTACTGTATCTATTATCTATCTATCTATCTATCTATCTATCTATCTATCTATCTATCTATCTATCTATCATCTCCCTCTATATGTCTCTCTATCTATTATCTGTCTGTCTGTCTGTCTGTCTGTCTGTCTGTCTGTCTGTCTGTCTATGAACAAGTTTGGTACAGTGGTTAAGGCATCAGGCTAAAAATTGAGAGAGAGAGAGTCCATGAGTTCTAATCCTGCCTTAGACATGAAGCCAGATAGTTGACCTTGGGCCAGTCACACACTCTCTCTCTCTCTCAAACCATTTCTGAAAAACCTTGCTGAGAAAACTGTAGGGACTTTTTCCAGGAGATTTCTGAGAATCAGACACAATTGAGGAAAAAAATGTAAATGGTGATTTGTTTTTCTGCAGGCAGGATGGGATAGATCAATGCTTTTGAACTGCTTTTATAGGAGCAACTGACCATTTAGAAAACAAAAGTGATGGTATGACTAGGAGGTCCTTAAAGATTGGAATTAGTGGCCTTAAAGCCTGTGCTTTGATGGTGTATTATTTCAACGTTTCAAATTGTGTCATACCCGTCCTCTAGAATGGAATCCAGCACTCCCAGCAGCACTACTTACAGTGTTGCTCTCCTTCATCTCTGGGATTACTCCAGCAATGATCTGAACTACAGGTAGTCTCCAACTTACGTCCAGAAATGGAAGCAGGATTTCTGTCATAAATCATTGTGCCTGTAAGCCGGTTGCCAAACCTCAGCATTGTAATCATGTGGAGATTGGACGCAGGGGTGTTGTTGCAAATGTGAGTACAGATCGTAATTTTTTTCTGAGGCCATCGTAACTTCAAATGCTTTTTAAATGAAAATTCATAAACTGAGGACTACCTGTAAATAAGAGAATGAAATTTTACGCTCAGTTTTATACAAACACACACACACACACACAAAAAAAACATCAGCCTAAGTGAAATTAATGGAGTGTGCATTTACATTATGGAATGCTGTCTTAAACCACTGTTCTAGTAAACTAAGCTTTTTTCTCCTAAAGTTGCCTAAACTAATTTTTTTTCCCTCCGAGATTTGCAATACAGAATTCTAAACCCTCATTTATAAATTAATAGAAGGGGGAAGAAACAGATCGCTCCGTTTTTAGTAAACAATGTTAACAGGATATTTGTCCAAAGAATCTACTGATGCTGATCCACACTGAATCTGAACACTATTTTCACTTAAAAGAAACTTTCACAATGCTTACATTTACAGCTTCACAACAAATGTAAAAAAAAAATATTTTCTCTGCAGAGATTCTATTGTTTGCTACCCAAGACAGGATGCTAATTTGTGCTTTTCTCAAATATGAAATATTAATTTCAAGGGTATGAGAAGTTTGGTTATGAAATAAACAATAGATTCAGATTATGTCAGAATCTTACACTTTGTCAGAAAGTGTGGATTGGCACAAAACGTGCTTTTATGCACAAAATGTGCTTGCGATACTTAATATCTTAGAATACTACATCTGCCATCATCTTACTGAATAACCATGCAGGACCATGTCATTTATTCTCTCATAAATAGGAATTCTAGATTTTTGTGAAGTACAATTATTGGCGTTCTTAACTAGAATGGCCAATGGCAGGGATGTGGGGAGTTGTTCTCCAGGGCAACTAACAGCATCCACAGCAGGGGTGGCTTCTACTTACCTTTACTACCAGTTCGCAGCAGGAGCGTGTGCATGCTTGCTTCTGCGCATGCACAGATTACCCATGATGATGTTGTGGCAGTGGGCGGAGCCTCCTGCCATTTTTACTACCAGTTCTATAAATCAGGACAGAACCAGGAGCACCACTGATCCATAGCAAACTGTGGTACTGATAGAAGAGAATATTTGAAGCTCAGGATTGAACTGTGGAGTCTTTGATGCTCTCTGAGCTTGGTGGTTTTCTTGAAATGTCTTCAAGAAGACATTTCAAGAAAACTAGGTAACATCATCAGGGCTCTCACATCACACTTGGGTTGGAAGCACTGAGACACTTCCAGGTTGAAAGGATTAGCCAGGAACATCACAGTTGCCCAGGAAATGCTCAGGGGGTCCCATTCATGTTCCCAGCAGGAACTGCAGCAAAGGATGGGAGCTCACCCCATCCATGGCAGCACTCGGGTCTTGCTACCCTCCAACCCAGCCTCTTAATCACATGAGCCACCATGCTCCTTATCAGTGCTCTGTTGTTACCTAGTTTGGTAATGAAAACCACTCAAAGAGCATCAAAGACCCCACAAATAATAACGATACCCAAATGGCGGCATGTTTACAGTGATATCCCCATACAAATGCCAACTTTACCAACTGTAAATTGGCAACAGAAATTTTGGGCTAAATTGTGGTTGTTAAATCGAGGAGTATCTGTATTACACCAAAACCAGCCTGTAAGTATATCACTACTGAATTCTTAAATTGTATTGCATGTTTTTCTTCTTCCTCTTTTATTAAATTATGGAAAATACTGGAGTTTGTTCTTCTATTTCCCTCCGCCCCCATTCATTTAGATGTGTATTAAGTCACTGTATTTTACATGCTCAATCTGAAGGCTGAACTAACAACTATTTCTTTGTTGATGGCTGTGACTGCTTAGCAAGATGAAGGGGGTTTAAACACATTCATGGCATCCATGAAGAGGCAACAGTTCATTATATAATAGGTGGAATATTTTATGAATATGTATTGAAATGCCCCCAAAAGGCCTGCTTCTGTTCCTCACTGTGTCCTATGGATTCTTAAATAAAGAGCCCAGCTCAAAGACAGTTATTTATGAGTCTGCAATATATGTTCACCACCTGAGATTTTCAAAGCAATAAAAATACCCTACTGTTTTAATTAATCCAAGCTATTTTTGTAAATGATCCCAAACTTTTACTCCATTAATCTCAACAACTATTAAAGGTTCCGACTCTGTAAAAACTGAACGGTTGTGTTTGTTAGCGTGGGTTTTTTTTTTCACTTGAGGAAGAAAACTGTCTTGAAAGATGGCTAAGAGATGTAGAAGGATGATAATAATATCTTTCTGGATGCTTGTAACTATCTTATATTGCTCCTAAATTTACAAAAGCCACTCCCTTGGGAATGGCATTAACTTAGGTCTCATTCTTCCTCTTCAATCAGCATTTTTCTGTTTTCAATATAATCTTGTAATGTTTATAGATTTAACTGTTTTTATGAGGTTTTATTATTAGTTTTATTGAATGTCATATGGGTAGAAAGGCAGAGTATAAAAATATCCATATTATAACGCTTCTACCACCCACCCCTCTGTACACAAGGAAAGAAGGGAGGGAGGTGGAAGAAGAACGAAAGAAAGGAGGATAGGGAGGGAGGAAGGATGGAGGGAGGAAAGAAGGAAGCAGGGAGGGAGGGAGGGAGGGAGGGAGGGAGGGAGAGAGGAAGGAAGGAAGGAAGGAAGGAAGGAAGGAAGGAAGGAAGGAAGGAAGGAAGGAAGGAAGGAAGGAAGGGGTGCAGGGGTTAGAATGCAGTACTGCAGACCACATCTGCTGACTGCCAGCTGCCTGCAATTTGGCAGTTCGAATCTCACTGGTTCAAGGTTGACTCAGCCTTCCGTCCTTCTGAGGTTGGTAAAATGAGGAGCCAGATTGTTGGGGGCAATATGCTGACTCTGTAAACTGCTTAGAGAGGGCTGTAAAGCACTGTGGAGCAGTATATAAGACTAAGTGCTATTGCTATTGCTATTGCTATTCTGATTGATCCTCTGCAATTACCCTCTCTTTTTTGTACTTCTTTGAAGTGGGCAGAGAACCTCTTTTTTTCCCCATCTGTTGCCTTCTTCTACATACTAGCATAAATTATTTTAAGAATTGTACAATCTATGAACAAAGAGTTTTTCTTTGTTTTATTTTACCTTGAACTTCCTTGCTCTCTTATCTTTGCCTTCTAGAGCAGCATCCTGTGCTATACTTGTCATAAAGGTCCACAAGGCAATAGTTCACATATTTGCCTTGTACTCTCTCACTTCTGTCACTTGGTTCTGGGCCTAGGCCTGTAGCCTTGAATGTGTGAATCCATCTTTTGGTGGTAATAACAACCACTGACTGTGACATCCTCCTTGGCTGCAATGTATTTTAATTTTTGTATTATTTGTTTTTAATTTATTACAATTATTTGCTGCCAGAGTCACTTATTAAGATGAGTAGTCATATAAATTGAACAAAGGAATAATTTTCATTCATTCATTCATTCATTCATTCATTCATTCATTCATTCATTCATTTAAACCCAGACGTTTCAGCCTTTCTTTCCCTTTGTGTTGACTATTTTCAGTGCTGAAAATGCATTAGGTAGTCTATGTTCCCACTTGCATATAACCACAGTACAAATACAACTTGACAATCTTGTTGTTCATTTGTGACTTTATAGCTTCCCCTTCATTTTGTCATCAACCCGTGAGTGAGAGAGGTTTAAATCATTTTTAGCTCTCCTGGGATTAGAGTAGTACTTTTCTTGGGTTCCAAGGTGTGTAAAATCTCATACGTTTCACAAAATATTTTGCAGATGGCCCATTCCTGGGACTTGTGGCACAGAAATGGCCCGGCAGCTTTTATCAAGTTTGGACTGATGTAGCAACTCCACTTCCCATGGGCCCCAGCACGTTCCTCTGCTGCTACTCTTTTTGATGGAAAGAAGTTCCACAGATGAAAGGTCTGTTTAGGGATATCCAAAGGTGAGGTGGAAAGGTGAGTATGGTTAAAAACAAGTTATTTCAGTAACTAGTAGCTTCCCCAGCCTATGAAACATGAGCTCAGTGGTGGAGCCTATTAAATCTGACAAAGTTTAGCACAATGTGTGGAGATTTGAGAGAGCACTAAGTTCATACTTAAAAGAAGATGACTGAAAATCTGTTCAGTGGGCCTGTGGACTTGTCATGTTTTGACAAGTTGATTGTCCTGCTTTGATATAGAGAGTAAAGCAAGAGAGCTGGGTCAACCACATGTCAAAACTCATCCCTCCTTAAGTCTTCCCTGAATCACACTTCTCATTGGCAGATGGTTGATTACTTACTGCTGATATTTGGAAAGTGGAAGGACAGCCAAATTAGAAGATTTAGCAAATTAGTTAACACAGGCCATGAACATACATGGGATCTCACTATTTGATGGCAAACCAAAGGAGAAGCCATAGATGCAGGACAAGATTCAGCAACTAATTTTATGATTGCATATTTTTTTTTCCTGCCAATTAAAAAATGGGTAGACAGCACTTTAGTTTGGGCCATGCCTTCCAGAACTTGTGGGTTATCATATTTTTCCTTTGTTTTTAATATTCCAGCTAAGTTATTCAGTTTTAAAATTAATTCATACCTACATACTCATTTACCTGAGAACTGCATCATTAATTCATCATTTGCACGTGTTAATGACATATCACAGACAATAATTTCATATTCACAATACATTAAGCACAATATTTCAAGTTAACACGTGCATCTATGAATTATTAAGTGCTGAATAAGCAAATGAGAACTCATATACATGGTACATAAAATGATAATATATACACACTTGGGTGTGAGTAAATCAAATTGGACTCAGTGTGAATTCATAATAGATTCAGATAGTTAAGGATTTGAATTTTCTTGGAATCTTAAGTCAATATTACTTTTCACATAAAATTATCTGGTTTCTTGCGCAAACTACGTCTTTAACTACCAAGGCCATAACACCAGGGGTGAAATGCTCCCAGTTTAGACCGGATCGCCCAATCCAGTAGCGATGGCAGCGGGTGGTTCAGAGAACCAGTAGCAAAAATCCCTGCCCCCCCATGCCCAGCTGAGCCACGCGATCATCAGAGGCTTTATTTTTTAATTTTTAAAAGCATTTTTTCTACAACCTCTTCGGCTAAAAAAATGCTTTTAAAAGTAAAAAAAAAAAGTCTCTGATGATTGTGTGGCTCAGCTGGGATTGTCAAAGGATTTTAAAAACATTTTTTCTACAACCCGTTCGGCCAAAGAGGTTGTAAAAAAAATGCTTTTAAAAGCCTCTGACGATCCCAGCTGAGTTGCCTGATCAGCAGAGGCTTTTAAAAGAAAAAAAAAGCTTCTGCTGATCAGGCAACTCAGCTGAGATCGTCAGAGCCTCTTTTTTTTTATTAAAAAGTTTTACAAAAACGAGAAAATTTCCCCCCCCTGTTCCCCCCCCTTTCCCCCCCTCCATCCCCCCCCCCCCCCCTGACTTCCCAGAGCAAAATACAAGGTATTTCATTTAGTCAAACATAAACTAATCTACTTATCCTCAAAGTACTACCTCCCCCACTGAAACCTTAACTCCACTATCGATAACCAAATACTTCTAATACTAACAGTCATTCATAAGCTAATCAGAGCCTTTTGAAAGCATTTTTGAACAACCTCTTTGCCGAAGAGGTTGTAGAAAAAATGGTTTTAAAAGTTAAAAAAAAAAA